TACTGCCGAATTTCAACAAGCAATACCAATTATTCTCAAACTATTCCAAAGTATTAAAAGGAAGGGACCCCTTCCAAACTCACTGTATAAGTCCAACATTACCCTGATACAAAACTAGACAAAGGTATAACAAGAAAACTACAGAAAGATGTAGTGTTCCTTTCCTGAGAAAGAAGCAAAAAAACCTCAATGAAATACAAGCTAGTCTATGTTAACAGCATATACAAAAGATCAAATCATCATCAATATCAAGTGGAATTTATCCCAGGGATTCAAGGATAGTTCAACACACACAAATCAATAATGTCAATATAATGAAGAATAAAAAATGTATGATTATCTCAACAAATGCATAAAAAGTATTCACTAAAATTCAACATCCCTTCATGATATTAAAAAAGAGAAAATTCAAAATTTAGGAATAAAAGTAATTCACCTCAATACAATAAGGACAAACCCACAGCCTATATCACACTGAATGAGGAAAAGCTGAAATTGTTTCCTCTAAGATATCTAGTTACCCCTATATGATCATTACATATTATATACACATATTAAAATGGCACAGTGAGTCTGGCATGGTGACACATGCCTATGATCCCAGTTACTCAGGGATCTGAGACAAGAGGATTGCAAGTTCCAGACCAGCCTGCCCAACTTAGCAAAGTCTCAAAATAAAAGAATTAAAAAGAGTTGAGGCAGGAGAACCCCAAGTTCAAGACCAGCTTCATCAACTTAGGGAGACCCTGTCTCAAAATAAAAAGGGTTCCGGATGTAGTTCAGTGGTAAAGTACCCTGGGTTCAATCCCTAGTACAAATTTTTTTTTAATTTGTTTAAACTTATACATAAATGATTAAAAGAAGCCAGGTATAGAGACACACACCTGCCATCCTAGCAACTTAAGAGGCTGACTTAAGACCAGCCTCAGAAATTTATTGAAGCTCTCAACAACTTGGCAAGACCCTGTTTAAAATAAAAAATAAAAAGGGCTGGGGACAAGGGGTTGGGGATATAGCTCAGTTGGTAGAGTGCTTGCCTAGCATGCACAAGGCCCTGGGTTCAATCCCCAACACCACACACACACACACAAAAAGGGATGGAGACATAGGCCACCCCTCGGTTCAATCCCCAGTAGCAAACAGAACAAAAACCACTCATTAAGAGTAGTATTCATAATAGCCTCAAAGTGGAAACAACTCAAATGCCCACCATTTGAAGAATGGAGAGATTAAAAGTTGTACATTTGGCAATAAAAATGAAATACTGATACATGCTATAACATGGATAAACTTTGAAAATATTATGCAAAAATCAAAGAAATCAGTCACACACAAAAAATCACATGGGTCCATTTATATAAAATGTCTAGTATAGGCCAGCTTACAGGACACAAAGTAGATTAGTGGTCATCTAGGACTGGAGGGGACAGAAGGTTTAAGGATAATGGCTACAGCACATAGTTTCTTTTTGAGGTGATGACAGTATTCTAAAATTGATTGTAATAATGTGTATATAATTCTATGAACACACCAAAAACTACTAAATTGTACAATTTATAAAAATGAATATGTAGTAGAAAAATCACACCTCTATAGTTATTTCAAAAAGAGAAATAACTACTCAACTTTTATAAGAACACATAAAAGACGGGTGTCCTTGTCAGACACAGTGGCACACACCTGTAATTCCAGCAATTTGGGAAGCTGAAGCAGAAGGATTGCAAGTTCAAAGCCAGCTTTGGCAACTTAGCCAGATCCCATCTTAAAACAAAAAATAAAAAGAGCCGGGGATGTAGCTCTGTGTTATGTGCCCCTGGGTTCAATCCCTAATACCAAAAAGAAAAAAGAAAAAAAAGTCAGACATAGAGGCACATGCCTATAATCCCACCACTAGGGAGGCTGAGGCAGAAGGATTGCAAGTTTGCGATCAGCTTTCTTGGCAACTTAGTGAGACCCTGTCTCAAAATAAAAAATAAGGCGGGGCGGGAGACTATGGTTGTGGTTCAGTGGTAGGTAGAGCACTTGCATAGCACAACATGAGGCATAGGGTTTGATCTTCAGCACCACATAAAAATAAATAAATAAAAGCATTGTGTCCATCTACAACTAAAAAAAAAAAAGGCTGGGGATGTTGTCAGTGGATTTAATCCCCAGTACTGAAAAAGAAAAGAAAGGCCAAGTCAAGCCATGGACCAGAAAAAAACATTTATTAAAACATCTATTTGATAAAGGATTTATATCCAGAATATACAAAGAATCCTCACAACGAAATAATAAATTCAATTTTTTAAATGTTCAGAAGGCTTAAATACTTCACCAATGAAGACAGATGAATGGCCACTAAGCACAGAAAAATACGCTCATCATCATGAGTCATTAGGTAACTGTAAACTAAAACCAAAATGAGTTACGATTATACCCATGAGAATGGCTAGAAATAAAAAGACTAGGGGCTGGGGATGCAGCTCAAAGCATGTGCTCAGGTACACAACAACAAAAAAGACTGACAAGGGGCTGTGCTCAGTGGCAGAGCGCTTGCCTAGCACATGTGAGGCACTGGGTTCGATCCTCAGACCAGAAATACATAAATAAATAGATAATTGGTTTGTGTGTTTGTTTTTTTTTTTTTTAAGACAGAAAATACCAAGAGTTCAAGAAATTTTGGATCAACTGAACTCTCTACAGCAAATGAGAATGAAAACAGTAGTATATCCACATTGTAGAATAGTGTGGCAGCTTCTTAGTTTCCTGTAAGTTAAAACTAAACTCTTAACCATAAGAACCTACAATTCTGGGCTGGGGCTGGGGCTCAGTGGTAGAGCACTTGCCTAGCATGTGTGAGGGACTGGGTTCGACCTCAGTGCAACAAAAAAAATAAATAAATAAAAATAAAGGTATTGTGTCCACCTACAACTAAAAAATATATTTTTAAAAAAAGAGAACCTGCAATTTCCCTTCTAGGTATACACTCAAGAGAAAGAAAAACATATCTTCAAGAAGATCCATACATTAATGTTATTTCATGGCAGCTCAGTCGTAATAACTGAAAGCAATTCAATTGTGCATCAATAATGAGTGAATAAACAAATTATAGTAAATTATTTAATGGACTATTACTCAGCAGTTAAAAAGGAAAAGGGCTGGGCTGGGGACATAGCTCAGTTGGTAGAGTGCCTCTCATGCATAAGGCCCTGGGTTCAATCCCCAGTACCACCAAAAAAAAAAAAAATGGAACAGGGCTGGGGATAGATAGCTCAAGGGCAGAGTGTTTGTCCAGCAAGCATGAGACCTTGGGTTCAATCCCCCAAAGGGAAAATAAAAAAGGATGCAGCCCCCAAATGAACTATCTAACACACATTAACATGTAACAGTGTGTCAATCTTGTGTCAATCTCAAGAGGACTATACTAACTGAAAAAGCCAGACACAGAAAAATACATTTTGTATAATTCCACTTATTTGATATTTAAAAAAATAAAATAAAACACACTGATAGAAAGCAAATCAGTGGTTGACAAGGGCAGTACTAGAGAGAGAAGACTGGAAGGGGGCACAGGGAAATTTGTGGGGGGTGCTGAAAATGTTCTATCTTTCTTGTGGCAGTGCTGAAGGTTATAAGACTATGTACATTTGTAAAAACTCAAAAAATTGGACATTTAACTGGTTGAATGTTAAAATAGGTAGAATGTGCTCAATAAGGTTGATTTTGAAAAAAAAAAGATTAATTAGCAATTTCAATCCTTTTCCCAAGTCCATAGAAGTTCTCAAGGTCTTAGGGTTCCCAAAAGGTCTCAGCAACCAATCTACTCTACTTTGAAAATCTGACCCTGACTTCAATTTCTTATCTGCCTTATGATTCAAAGTCTGTACTTCTGAAGCACAAACCTCTAAACTTTGTAGACATTTCTAAAACAGGTATGCAGACATATAATCAGATATATATGCAGATATATAATCTATGTGCTATAATTTCAGCTGATTTAGAGAAGCAAAAGTATTTGATTCCTCGGCAACTTTTCCAGCTTCCTTGCTTTCCCATTTTCCCACATTAAAAAAAAAAAAATACTCTAAATGTTTAGTGGCTCATTCCTATGGAGAGGACAGATTCTAGTTCCAGAGAACTCAACTTTAAGTAGCAGTTCAGGCTTAAACGCTTGCAGTCTGTTTGTCAATATCTAACCCATGACATTGTCTACAAAGAATAAAAGAATTCATTAATGAACGCTTTTCATTGTATCAACATTCCCAATATAGTCAAAGGCAAATAAAGCCTACTGCAACCAACAGAAAAATATGTAGAGTGGGGTGTTAGTGGCAACTAGGTGCTGAAAAACAAACAGCAGCACTCAGGAAAGGGGCTAACACATATTACCTTGAATTCAAGATGGATTTCCTACATATTGCCAACAGCAGCAATTTGGAAATGTGTAAAATAGCTCATGGAAATTTCATTCAGAGTGCTAGAACCTTGGGAAAGACCAGAGTTATTCATGCACAAAAACACCGCCAAAGAAATGAAAAAAAAAAAACAAAAAACTAAATATGAAGAAAGTGTAGGGAGGCCTAGAATCCCAAATGCACAAACCTCTGTATTACCCCGATATTTTGAAAGACAGCACCTTTTTAAAATTAATCTTGCTCTATGCTCCAAAGTGTCAACAATAACCAAGCAACTACTCTTAGCAAAGAAACATGACAGTCAATAAAAGAACAAACAGGTAAAACAAGCTCACACTTGTTTACTACGGAGTAGAAAGCAAATGTGAAACAGGAAATAAAATGGAATCGTGCTTAAGCAGAAATAGGACTCTTCTTCATTACTGTAGTTCACTCCTGGAGATAAACAGGGTTAGTTTCTTATTTATGTGTGAACCCACCTTCCTGATAGACAAACTGACCTAAGCTGCAGTCTTTTATTCTACTACTCTAATGTATTCACAATGGTAAGACTGCAGGAAAAGAAAGCTAGATGTTTGAGAATCATGTTGGGCTGACACTCACCACAAATTTCTCACCATTCTGCTCCACATGTTTGTATGTGGGGACCGATATGGGCACTGCTTGCTTTTCTGTGTAATCATAAAATGATTGTCCCAACGAGTCGTCACTGGGATCTAGGTTATCCGCCTCATGAGGAGGTACAGATAACACTGTCAAGATCAATTCCTTCTCGCCTGCTCGGATCAGGTCCACCACCTGCTTGTGTGTCGCCCCCTCAACATTCACGCCGTTCCTAAGGGGAAAAAGGGAAAAAGACAATCCCATAAACCAGAAGGGTCCAAACACTTTGTATCTCCACCCTCCTGCCCCCACTCCAGTGTCACACAGCGTGAACCATAAAATCAAAAGATTCATTTGGTTCTTTACAGATTCTACAGTGAAGAGCCGTTTGTGAACTTACAGCAGAGGAAAAAATGGAAACCTGGGAGAGGACCTATCCTTCCTCTGTTCTAGAACCCCACCCCCACCAGCTTCAAGAAAGAGCATGGTAAAGGGGGAAGCCCAGGAGAAAGCACTCCAACTTCCTCATCATAACTAAGCACATATACAACACAAATGGCTTTGGACAATCTTGCCATTTGAACTATCCTCTTCATCCTTTTAAAATTCGGGGGAATTTTATTAAAAGAAACTTCATAAAATGCATTCCCTTGATTTGTAAATAGGGATTCAAAAAATATGACTCAAAACAGTTCCTTTTCAATTTATATCCAATTTTTCTCCATATCTTCAAATCAGTCAATTTTCCTTTATACCACGTTTTATTACCTTGGGAGTTAAACAGTACTAAACTTCATACACGCTACTTTCTTCTAATTGGCTTTTAAAAAGGCAAGGACATTTTTTTCCTAAACTTACATTGTCTGACCCAACTTCCTTTGTTCTCCCAATCACTTTAATTAATCCCTCAGGACTTACTTTTAAAATTTTTTTTTTTTAATTGTAGATGGACACACATATCTTTATTTTATTTTTTATTTATTTAATGTGGCACTGAGGATTGAATCCAGTGCCTCATGCATGTGAGGCAGGCACTCAACCACTGAGCTACAACCCCAGGCCAGGACTTGTTTTTTTTTTCAACTCTGTGCTATGGCACTTAAAGCCCTGTGTAATCTGTCCAAGGAAACAAAACAACAACAAACACCTAAACAGTAAATCAACCTTTTCATTCTCCTTCCTGTTTCACTGTGTACAAAAGGCTGAAATGGGAAAAGTACAAATTTGTAAAAAAAAAAAAAAAAAAAGAAAAAAAAATTTGTCAAGAAAGATGCTGAGTCTCATAAAACTTGCTCACTCCCCAGAATGCTGACCCAGCCTGTCCATCTCAGCAAAAACACTGGGCGGCTCGCCTGGAGGTTCCCTACCATGGCTATCCCAAGAGAGACAGGAAATACACACCTGGCCTCTAATCAATTTAATATTTAAAACTTATTTACCCTTTTGGAGTTAAATTCTTTTTCAGTTCCATTCCAAACCATTAGGGTTTTTCCTTCCTGAAGATGACACTAAGTTTAGTAACAAGCCTTCCACACGATTTTCAGTCACTGGAATTGCTTTTGTCAGACAGAGAGAGTCTGGTATCCGAAACATCCACTTACATAAACACAACAGGCAAGAGATCACTCACTTGCATTCTTCCTTATTTTAGGTTTAACTATCTAGCCAGTAAATTCAGCACTCTTGACATTTCACAACCTAAACTTATACAAAAACAAACAAACAAACATTAGGTTTTATTTTTAAATAAATACCGAAGAACAACTAAGAGAGTCCCTTTTACTGATGGAAACTTGGACTTTTATTCAGACCAGGTCAGACTAATGATCAAAAACACACACTCAACTCTTATCATACAGCAGAATGGTAAAATGGGAAAAAAAAATATGGGCTTTGAACCTAGATGTAAGTGAACAAAATTCTGGCCCTGGCTATTAACATCAAAATTAGTCTTGATAAGAGTTATTTAATGTTTCTTAGCCTTGCTTTTCATATCTGTGAAAAGGGGACAAGAAGTCCCTAACAGAGACCTTATGAGGATTAATGTAATTAATTAACATGTCTTGAATAATGCCTGTGCACTCACATCACAATACCTAAAAAGGAAAGGAGTACCAGGAAGCTAGAACGTAGCTCGGGGCAGAGTGCTTGCCTAGCATGCAGAAGACCCTGGGTCAGATCCCAGGACCACCAACACCACCTCAGAAAACTATGTATGAAGCCATTTTAGTTAAAGAAGAAATGGAAACTGAAAGTTAGGGGTTGGCAAAGGATTCCATCTAATTCTTTGGCCTTGGTAGTTCTGAGAAAATATTTTATTGTAGAATAAATAATCAGAAATAATCAGAGAATCTATCCATCCTTAGGAATCTTTGCTTACTCACAAATATCCATGTTAATAGTTTGTTTAACAAAACAGGTGAAACTAGCATCTTAGAGACTGAACAAATTATCTTACATATTAAAACAAAATTTTTGGTTAAACAATTAATTTTATTTAATGAGATGAACATTTGAAAAAAATGTTTAAGAACTAATGCTCAAATCTTACTTTTCAAACCCTAATTTTTTTTCCTTTAAGGGATTTTAATCTGGGGATACTCTGGTAATAGTTTTGAGAGATCATCAATCTACAGAATTTGCATATACAACTGAATTCACAGACATGTTATGCATTTTCTTACTGGGAAAAGAATACATTAACTCTCATCATCTTTGAAAAGGAGTACATGGGGCTAGATTTGTAGCTCAGTGGTAAAACACCTGCCTAGCGAGTGTGAAGCCCTGGGTTCGAGTCTTAGTACCACAGAGTAATAAACAAAATAAAGGTCCATGGACAACTAAAAAGATATATTTAGAAAAATATGTTATCTCCAAAAAAACGAAGAACTACTGCTTTCAAAACACACCTCTATCCACTCATTTTTCAAATCAAAATGCACTGCTTCTTGGCTCTCTCACAAAAATAACCCCTAAAAGTCTTCAGAGAAACTTAAGTGAGGCTTAACTTAAGAGAAGCCAGGGAGTAAGGGAGCTTGCTTATTAGGTTTTCCTTATTAGTAAGACTAAGCTTCAAATGGCTAACATCCCAAAAGCCTCATTTAAAAAAAAAAAAAAAGATAGGAAATAACTTGCAGTGCCATATCCTAAATATACCGATAATATTTACCTGGTTCAACTACAGAAAGAATGCTTCGCATTCCACAGCTTAATACAAAGAGGGATCTTCATTCTTCAGAGAATGAAGTGAGGTCAGTAAAAACCCTAGGACATCTGATTTGAAAAAAGAGTCCTCCTTCCTCAAGAATTAAGAGGTCTTCACAGTCATAAAAATATTTACATAGAAAACACTCCATCCTGGGCTGGAGCTATAGCTCAGTGGCAGAGTGCTTGCCTAGCATATGTGAGGCACTGGGTTCAATTCAGAGCACATATACAAATAAAATAAAGGCATTCTATCCAAAAAAAAAAAAAAAAAGCACACTCCATCCCATAAGAATACTATTAAACCAGGCTCAAATTTGTATAATTCTAAAGATATGAGTAAATGCAAAATACAAATTCTGCAATAAAGGAGAACTTTCAGTAAAACAAACTCCTAGTTCAAAGCACAGGTTTTAGAGTCAGACACACTTGGGTTTTAAAATCAATTGTACCATTTACAGGTGGGACCTTAAGTAAATTACTCAATCTCACTAAACCTCAATTTCCTAATCCCCACAAAATGTGGCTAGTAATTTCTGTAGCTAATGGAGATGTTGGAAGAACTACTCACTTAGAGTCTCACTAACTTGCTGAGGCTGGCTTTGAATTTGCTATCCTCCTGCCTCAGCCTCCTGAGTTGCTGGGATTATAGGCATGCACCACCAAACCCAGCTTCCTCTGTTTTTGAAACATAATCTAGTTGGAATTCATTTGAAAATAAATAGTTGAGATCTAAACCAATGATAATCAGGATCAAGAGATAGTTGCCACTTTTACATGACTATTTCATCAGAGAACCACTAAGTCCTACATGCCAGACAAAAGTACCAACTGCCCAGTAAGATCTACCAATTTATGTTTCTTCCAAAGAAAGGCAGTAGCCTACACTATACAAAAAGTTCAACATGGGCTGAGGTTGTGGCTCTGCGGTGGAGCGTTCACTTAGCACGTGTGAGGCCCTGGGTTCGAATCTTAGCACCACATAAAAATAAATAAAATAAAGGCATTGTGTTCGACTACAACTAAAAAATAAATATTAAAAAAAGTTGAACAGATATGTGATTATGCAAAAGCAGCTAAACGTTAATTACAGAATTGAAGTGGTAAGTATACAAGCACTCACGTACAATTCTGGGGGAGGTGGCTGCCCAAAATTCCAACAATCCACAAATAAGACCAGAATTTTGTTCCGTTAGGCATCCAAATGAGACCTAAAGTACTCTTATTTTCAGGAAGATATATACTTGATAGTTATAACAAAATTCTCATTTTTATATAAGACCAACATTTGATTACAAAGGAGAGGTTTTTAGCTAGATAATGGGAGTGACTTCAAATAAGACTTCTATTCAACCAAAGTTAGCCAGTTCAGGAAATTGGAAAGCAAATATAAATACTCCCAGAAGTAGAAGAATAAACCCTAAATAGGAATTTTATACAGCTTTTGAAGGAAGCTTAATATAATGAAATCTAGGTAGGAATGGAAATAGGACAAAGGCAATAATCTACACTGTTTGGGAGCAAGGAGCCATTCTACATAGTAAGCAGAATACTTTTTTGATTCCTTGTGACATGCAAAAAGTAATTAAATGGTAATTAGTCCCTCAGAAGCAGCCCATTAAAATAGACAATAAATCCCTATAACTATTAAGCAATAAGACATATTTTTCAAATCTGCAGATAAAACACAATGGCTACACGCCCTTAAGAATGACTAAAGTTGGGGCTGGGGATGTGGCTCAAGCGGTAGCGCACTCGCCTGGCATGCGTGCAGCCCGGGTTCGATCCTCAGCACCACATACCAACAAAGATGTTGTGTCCACTGAGAACTAAAAAATAAATATTAAAATTCTCTCTCTCTCTTAAAAAAAAAAAAAAAAAAGAATGACTAAAGTTAAAAGGGTAACAATACCAAGTTTTGCCAGGGATGTGGAGTAAATGGAATTCTTGTATAATGCTGATGAGAACACAATACAACAATCTAGCCATTTCTTTTTTATTATTACTAACATTTTTGATTTTTTTCTA